GTGGGGCGGGGCCGGAGGCGAGGCGCGGGCCGGGGCGGGCAGGAGCGGCCAGCGGGGGCGCCTCCGGGGTGGGGTGCCCTCTGGGAGGTGGGCTTAGGGGCACTGGTCTGCTTCTTTTGTGCGCCCACGAGAGACGGGCTGCGGCCGTCACAGCCGGTACCCCTTCCCTCACCCTGCTCCTTGTCACCTGCCAAGTCCTTCTCCCCACTCCTGACCCCAGGCTCTGGGTGGTGCTTCAGACTTTGGGGTGGGGATGCGGCTGGCCATAGGACGGAGGGCCGAGCCTTTGCGTTTCCCAAAGTGTGGGTCCCCGCCACACCTTTCTGCGAGCCCCTGGTAGTGTCAGAAACCCCTCCAGCCAGGCCCTCTCCGTGGGACTCTCCGGCCGCGGGGGTGGAGCTGCGCCTGCTCTGTCGGGGGCGGTCACTCAGTCTTGTGCAGGTGATTTTGAGGCACTCAAAGAGCGGGTGCTGCTCTAACCCTTCCTCTGCACCAGGTCTGTCCCCCGGCCACCAGGGCCCGCCCATTTCCTTTTCTTGGCAGTTAGTGGCACCCCGAAAGGCCCTGCTGGCTCCTGGCAGGAATCATGACCCTCTGGGCATCAGTATTTAGCCAAACACACATGTTTCCCTTTGCACAACAGATGGATTCCTATAAAAGGTGTAATATCAATTTTACTTCATTATTGAATATTTTTACACAAGGAAAATTCACCATTTGTAAGAATCCCGTGATGAATTATTATGCAAAGCTCATCATCATTCTGTGTATGAGATGATAATTCCATGATTTATCTTGCATAAGTGGGGAGTTTCACATAGATACTTTGTCTAAGCTGGTACCCTTTAGTGGGAGCGGCTCTTCCAGTGGGTTCCCTAGGGACGGGCAGCCCTCCTCCGGACTGCTTTCTATCTCCCGGTCCGCCAAGGGTGTTGGATGCTTCTGGGAGTTAGAAGCAGCTAGGGGGTTAGGAGTCCACATCCTAGCTGGTGCCCACCGAAGGCTCATGGAGGGCGGCCCCCACCTCGTCACACTCACACGGGAGAACGCCCCTGCACACTGTCCCTGGGCCGTGTGTGGCGTGTGTCCCTTGCGCAGTTGGCAGGTGGTCCTAGGGCACGAGCGCCCCCTGTCCTCCGTGGTCCCTTCTACCCCCAGGGTGGCAGGAATGCAAGTCCCACCAGCTTCGTGTCATCCCCTCCTGCTCCAGGGATGGGAGAGGTCGTCTGTCCCGCTCTGAGCTCGCTTCCCCTTGGACACACACCCCACTCGGCAGGTCCTCCCCGTCCCCTCTCTTCCCTGTCTCCCAGCTTCCTTCAAACACCTCCCCTAAGCCCAGTCCATCCTCAGCCTGAACTTCTCTGGGCCTAAGATGTGGTGGTGTGGAAAGGGGGGCCCTAGGCTAGGGGATGCACTGATCACCCCACTTCGTAAGAGAGGACCACAGCACACCAGCTCTACACACCACCCTCACAGCCCCTCGGGCGGGCAGGCAGGCAGGCAGGGAGACAAGCGGGCTGTGGGAACCCCAGCCAGGCGGGCGGAGATGTCGGGATAATTTAGCAGGTGGCCTCGTTACTCCCAGATCTGTCACCATGGTAACCTGGTTTTTTCTTTAAAAAATGTACAGTGCCAAGAGGAGGAAGATGGCTGACAAAATCCTCCCTCAAAGGGTGAGTGCCTTTCACAGCAGCCCCCAGCAGCCCCCACCCTCTGCTGCTCCGCCCCTCCCCCCAGGAGCAGAGCTCCAGCCACACACCACTTTCACTTTTTGTTTAAAAAGCTCATTAAGAAGTGAGGCTCCTCAGGCCAGGGGGCGGGGTGGGGCAGAGAGAGGGAAGGAGGGGCCTGAGGTCCAGGGGGTTGAACACCAGCAGCCGGCAGACATAAAGGCACGGGACAAAGAGGAGAAAAGAGGCTGCCAAGTGGAGTAAGGGAACAGAAGGTGGCCACACGTCCTGACGGGCATCGTATAGGGACCCAGGCCTAGCCGGGTGTGGGGTAGCATGGTTCAGACACCAAGGTGTGGGGTGGGGAGGTGCCTGGACAGGGCCAAGCAATGCTATCCATCTTTTCTGTTGGGGACTCCAGAGCCCCTCAGCTCTTTGCAGAGACCCAAGGGTGTCCAGATGACAGGAGAAGCGACAAGATGAGGGTAGGCCCTGGCACTTGCTGGGCTGCAGGGATGCTCACCCTGGCGGTGAGCTGCAGGGACCTCCTTGCAGGGAGAAGCAGTTTTTACCCTGCTGTTTAAGGGTGCATTATGGGGTTGTGGGGAGAGGTCTCAGCCGCACTCAAGACTCCTGGTCTGCAGTCAGACCCCTCCCTTGCGCCGGGGATTGCACAGCAGGCCCCTGTTCCACATCGCAGATTGGCTGAGCCTGCGCTCCTGTTTTGCTCCTCCTCCAGATTCGGGAGCTGGTCCCGGAGTCCCAGGCTTACATGGACCTCCTAGCGTTTGAAAGGAAACTGGATCAAACCATCATGCGGAAGCGGGTGGACATCCAGGAGGCCCTGAAGAGGCCCATGAAGGTGCTGTGGTGTGGGCAGGGGGAGGCCTCTAAGCCTGTGCCCAAGATGGGGAAGCAGGGTGCCCCCCCCCCCGGGGTGGAGGCACACAGCCTTTGCCCTGTACCAAGATCTTTATTTCTACAGCAAAAACGGAAGCTGCGTCTTTATATCTCCAATACTTTTAACCCTGCAAAGCCCGATGCAGAGGACTCCGATGGCAGCATTGCCTCCTGGGAGCTTCGGGTGGAGGGGAAGCTCCTGGATGATGTACGTCCTGGCCCAGGTCTCTCCAGGTGTCCTGGGGTGGGTATGGGCAGCAGGAAGGGTCAGGGAGTTGTCCCAGCCCGTTGGGGGGGGCGGGTCTGGGGTGAGTCTCAGTGCAGAAGGCCGCCCCGAAGTATGCCGCCTGCCTGCTGCCAGCTCAGCCCATCCTGCACCCCGGCCCCTGTTCCTCTCCCACAGCCCAGCAAGCAGAAGCGGAAGTTCTCTTCCTTTTTCAAGAGTTTGGTCATTGAGCTGGACAAAGACCTGTATGGCCCCGACAACCACCTTGTTGAGGTACGACAGATCCTTTCTGCCTTTGAGCCCACACTCCCGTCGGCCCAAGGCACAAAAGAACCTGCACAGATTTGGATCAAGGACCACACTAAAGCCCTTGGGCCTGCAGGTGACCCAGCCCTTTTCCCTGGACAGTGGCACCGGACACCCACAACCCAGGAGACGGACGGGTTCCAGGTGAAGAGGCCGGGGGACCTGAGTGTGCGCTGCACGCTGCTCCTCATGCTGGACTACCAGGTCTGTCCGTCCCCATGTCCCAGATGCCATGCCAGGTGCATCCCAAGGGTCCCTGTCCTTCCTGCCCCTCCTCCAAACCCTGTTTCCAAGGAGCTCGGTCACCATGGCCCCAGCCCCAAGCTGCCTGGCCCTGAGCTTTCCCCCTGTCCTGCCTTTGATCTAGTTTTCTGGTCACCTTTTCCAGCCTCCCCAGTTCAAACTGGATCCCCGCCTGGCCCGGCTGCTGGGGCTGCACACACAGAGCCGCTCGGCTATCGTGCAGGCCCTGTGGCAGTACGTGAAGACTAACAGGCTACAGGACTCCCACGACAAGGAGTACATCAACGGGGACAAGTACTTCCAGCAGGTAACCTCCCCTGAACCCAGGGATCCCGGAGCACCTCTTCAAAGGTAACGCCTCATCTCCCTGCTGGAGTCTGGAAGGTCAGAAATGGCCACAGACACGGCCTTGGGCCAGGAGGGTTAGGGGTCTGGGCTGGGTCTTATACACGTTAGCCCCATGCTGCGGTCCCTCCATTTAGGCTCCCCAAGTTAGGACAGCTAAAGGCATCCTGGAATGTCATGTGCTTGGCACTTGGGAGTTAGGGTCCCTGGGTTCTAGACCCAGCTCTGGACTGTAGGTAAGTTAACTCTGCTATTCCGTGCCTTGCTCCTTGTCTTTGAAGTGGGGTAATGAGAACCGCCCCTTGGGCAGTAAAAACCAAATTGCTCTGAAAATGCTAGGGCAACATTCTCCCAGAGTAGAGTAGTATTATGAATGTGTTTTACAACAAGCACAGCGGATAAACCCCAGTAGAAATAGCAGGAGGTATTTATTGAGCGCTTAGCACTTTGCCAGGCATTGTTGCGAGCGCTTGGTAAAAGTGATCAATTCAGTAAATTCTTGTGACACCTTGTGAGACAGGGACTATTAACCATCCTATCCCAGAGATGAAGACGCCAAGGGCAGGGGGGTTAGGTGACTTGTTCAAGGTGGCAAGGTGTGACGGAAGCAGGGCCCACACCCCAGCAGGCAGCTCAGGGCCCTGTCCCAAGTCCTTGTCTGCCATGCTGATGACCCTACAGGTCGTGGGCACGGAGGAACCCAACATGCTCTCAGCTTCCGGTGGCCTTTCCAGAATGGGAGGACCTAGAACTGTAGCCACAAGCTCTTTACACACAGAGGAGTGAGATTTTCTCCAACTGTCCTGCTTCAGATTTTTGACTGTCCCCGGCTGAAGTTTTCCGAGATTCCCCAGCGCCTCACAGCCCTGCTGTTGCCCCCTGACCCAATTGTCATCAACCACGTCATCAGGTGAGGTGGCCCGAGCTTGCTTCTGCCTTCCCAGCCCTCCCTCCTCTCCCCTGCTTCCCTCCCTGTGCACCAGCCCTGGGGCCCTGGGCCTCTGTGCAGACATCATGGCCACCAAGGGGTGGATTTCCCTGGCAGTGTGGACCCGTCAGACCAGAAGAAGACAGCGTGCTACGACATTGACGTGGAGGTGGAGGAGCCGCTGAAGGGCCAGATGAGCAGCTTCCTCCTATCCACAGCCAACCAGCAGGAGATCAGTGCTCTGGACAGTAAGGTGGGGCCCGAGCCCAGAGCTGGAGGGGGGCAGTCACTCAGACAGGATGGCACACTTAGCACAGGCCAGCCACGGGCGAGGGGGACATAGGCCCGTGTGCCTTTGCTGGCTGCCCGCGTTCCAAGCTTAGCTCTGCGCACCCTTCCTCAGCCGCAACTGGGCGGAACCAGGGCTCGGAGACCGCCCTTCGTGGAAGCCCCCCCCCCCTTCCACTCTGCCAACGTGCACTGCTGTGACCAGGTGGGGACCACCTCTCTACCTGCAGATCCATGAGACGATCGAGTCCATAAACCAGCTCAAGATCCAGAGGGACTTCATGCTAAGCTTCTCCAGAGACCCCAAAGGCTACGTCCAAGACCTGCTCCGCTCCCAGAGCCGAGACCTCAAGGTGAGCAGGAGACTGGGGGCGCACTGGAGTGGAGACAAGCACACGGGAGACCGTCAGCGGGGCAGGTGAGGGCGCGGGGCTGGGTGCTGACCCTGTGCCTGGCTCAGGTGATGACGGATGTAGCCGGCAACCCCGAAGAGGAGCGCCGGGCCGAGTTCTACCACCAGCCCTGGTCCCAGGAGGCCGTGAGCCGCTACTTCTACTGCAAGGTCAGGCGCACCCCTTGCCCTTGAGGTTTCCTCTCCTCTGGATCTCCCTTCTCACTCGCTGGTGGCCCTGACTGCTCCCCAGTGACACCTGTCCACCACACCCACCTCACGATATCATGGCCTCCCCCTCCCAGTCCGGCCCAGGCAGGGGACCCTGGCGGGCGGGAGGGCCGTCCTGCTCACTCACCGGGAACGCTGCCATCCTGCCCCTACCCCTTCCTCTCTAAAGATCCAGCAGCGCAGGCAGGAGCTGGAGCAGTCGCTGGTCGTGCGCAACACCTAGGAGCCTGCGACTGAGCACCGCCACGGACCAGGGACGGGCTGGGGGGCCCTGGGGAACTGGCCAGCTGTGCCCTGGGCCAGGGCCTGGCTTCTGTGCTGCCTCAGGGGCGGGAGGACTGGATTAAAGATGGTTCACCAACACAGCAACGTGGTCATTGGAAACCGGGGACCAAAGGGCCGGGAAGGGGAAGGCAGCGGGTTCCTGGGGACAAACTCCTGCACCCCTCCCTCCGTCTTCTCCTTCCCACTTTTCCTAGACCTAAAACCATTTTGGCAGAAGACATTTTTAATAACATTTTCTTATTTAAAAAAATACAGCAATAAGCCCTCCTCTGTCCATCACCTTGCCTTGCCCTGCCTGGGGCAGAGGCGTACGAGGGACCCATGGGGATCCCAGGTGCCAGGGGCCCAGGACAGCTCCTAGGTGCTGTTGGCCTGCTCCTGCTCGAACAGGGCCATGGCCAGCTGGGCACGGCCCCCCAGCCCCTCCAGGTTGCTGAGGCGGCAGCGGTGGTAGAGTTCCTCGCTGAGCCGGGGGCTGCAGTCCCGCAGGGAGAACTTCTGCACCAGCCCTGGCTCTACGGCCCGGAAGAGGTGGAGCCCTGAGAACCGGAGGAAAACATCCATCACCTCCAGCCCCTCCAGGGCTTCCTCCTCTTCCTGGCCTGCCAGTTCGCCAGCCAGCCGGGCACGGGCTGCCAGGTAGTCGGCATTGTAGAAGCAGCCCTCCGCCGATGCCTGCCGGTCAAACCTGCCCCCGACGGGAGCCCCTCGGGATGGGTCTGAGCCAGGGGGTGATGGAGGGTCGGGGCCAGCCCCTGGAGGGCCTGGGGGTGGCCTCTGCGGAGACAGGGCAGGGTTGAACTCTTGGAAATGGACTGGGAAGAAAGCCTGCCAGCCGGAGATGGCGTTCATGCGGCAGCGGTTGAGGACTTCAGGCCCAGGCCTGGTCCACACGGTGGTGAGGAAAAACAGGGTGTCCACGGGGTGCTTCTTGGACACCACATCCATGAGTCGCACCTGGGAAGGGGCCTCTGCTCTCACGGCGAGCCAGGCCAGCCTTGCCCCAGGGTACCGCCGCTCCAACTCCGCCGCCGCAGCCTTCACCCCAAGAAATGGGTCTGGGGCCCCTCGGCCACCGTCCCGAGGCCCATAGACCAGCAGCAGGGTGAGCAGCGCGTGCTCTCGAGGCTCCAGCACGCTGGCCGCAAAGGCCTCCAGGAACGCCGGGGCCACTGCGGCTTCAGCCACCAGGAGTGGCAGTACCAGCTGCACTCGGGTGGCTTCAGTGACATAGGGCATGGGCAGGATTTCCACGCGGCTCAGTGGCCGCAGCAGACTGACCCTGCGAGCCAGGGCCCGCCGGTGCCCGCGCTGAGTGACAGCCTCCAACAGAAGGTCCAAGGTGTACTCCATGCCCCGCGCTGGGTCGAAGCGCCGGTAACCATTGAGCAGCCGCCGCTTCTGGAAGCGCAAGCGCGGCTGATAGCGCCGATTGAGCTGCTCCAGCGCAGTGTCCACAGCGTCACCCACGTCCGCCCTGTTGGCCCCCTGCAGGGGGCACTTGGGGGCCCCGTCTGCGCAGGAGAAGGTGTGCTGCTCGGTGAAATAGTCCCAGCCCAGCACCTCAAAGCGCGAGTGGGGCGTGAAGGGCGCCGGGAGTCCCACAGGCCAGCTCAGCCCCGCCTCGCCCTCGGGGGTCAGCGCTGTCAGGTTGCGGATCTGAGCCTGGGTTGGAGGGAACACACCTCACGTGAGTGCCAGCGCAAGGATCCCACGCGGATCCAGCCTCCTGGCCTCGGAGACTCTGGCAGTGAGCTCTGGCTAATCACCTGTCCCCTGCTATAAGTTACAGAGAGGACAAGAATGAGCCCCACCTTAGATAACTGCTGAGAGGAAGGACACCCACTTTACAAGGGGAAAGTCATCCTGAACAGTGACCACCCTTCCCTCCTGCCCCAGGTGCACACATCCTCTTTATGAGCGGTGCGTTCTCACCTGCACCGCACTAAGGACTCCCACACTTCTCTTTCTACCCTGGAGCTTCCCTAGGAGCTCCCGAAGTTCAGGGCTTCTGGGTTTCCGCCTCCGTAGGTGGAAGCTCGGTCAGCCCCTTCCCCTGCCATCCTGCGGCACCCAGCCCAGCCCCCAGCGCTCGCTCAGCTGCCTGCTCCTTTGAAGCCTGGAGGCCCTGGGCCCCCCTCCTCCTCCAGCTGGTCGCAACTCACCTGCAGTTGTTCTATTTCACTGTAAGCCCGCTCCAGCTCCAGAGCACTGAAGCGTTTGTGGAGCCGGTACATAAGAGTGGCCTCGGAGACAGGGTGCACCGCGAAGGCACTCAGGAAAGCCGAGCTCCCCTCCTTCTCAGGGTCCCTGTTCTTGGCCAGTTCAAAGGAGCGATACTGCTGCCCCTGGAGGGATCAATCACACCCATCAATGCCACACACAAAGGCTGCCTGTCCCAGCAGGCCCTCGGCCATCCTCACCTGCTGTTGCTTTAGAATGGGCAGAAGGAGGGGTTCTTTCTGGTGGCCCCCCTCTCCCAGGTTCATTTTGGGAATGATAGGTTGAGTAGACACTAGGGATACCCTCTTCCTGCAACAAATCCCACCATTCGCAGGGGCATGAAAGCCACAAGCCAGAAAATCCTTTAGGTGTTTCACCCCCAGCTGCAGAGTGAGTGCCTTTCTCGGGGAGGAGCCACCTCTAGGACACGCCCACACTGTCCCTAATTGTGACATGTTAGGGGAAATGTTGGGGCAGGGAAGCAGATGGGGAGGACTGGTGAGTCGGGGTCCCTCTGTCCTGTCCGGGGGGTCCCTGGCAAGACGTGCTTGTGAAAGGCTCGGGTTGTGAGAGTGCCGAGGGCCAGGCGAGCAGCTGGGAGGACAAAATGACGCCCTACAGCAAGCAGCTCGAGGAGCACTCACTCAGTCACTGCCAACTTGGTGGGGACTGGGGCTGACTTGAAAGAGCTGTCACCTGGTGCTGCGAGACACAGCCAACGCCCAGAGAGTCGATGAGGCAGCGGCCAAGCCACTCATCAGGACGAGCACTGAGAATGTCCCCGCGGCAGCCATCCAGGTGCGGCCGCAGGTGAAGCAGGAGGCTCCGTGACAACAAGTAGCCAAAGCCTCCGTGGCAATACCGGGCCTGCTCGCCCGCCCCGATGAATTCCTCTGCCCGGCCCAGGTACAGGTCCTGGTTGATGCTGAGGTGGCCGGTGAGGGCTGCCAGGCGAGGGGCCTGCACATACGTGTCATCCTGCATAATGAAGAACCAGTCGTAGTCGGCCCCAAAGTGTGTGTGAAGGTGGCGCAGGGTCTCCGACATGAGCCAGGCAGGCCGTTCGTCCCCATGGGACACCACCTGCATGCCTGCAGGAGTCCGGGCCCCTCGCTGCCCCGTGAAGTAGAGTAACCGGGGGAAGTGGTGGGCCACCGTGCGGTTTACGGCCACGGCCAGAGTGGACAGCGTGGCTCGGGAAGTCAAAACGGCCACCAGCAACCGCTCGCGCGAGCCCAGCTCTGTCTGGATGTACCGAGTCCTGCGGAGAGACCAGCAGGCGGGGGTCAGCTCTCCAGCCCGCAGGGAGTGTGTGCCAACACACAGACATCTGCCTAGGAACAAGTGAGCTCGTCTAAGGAAAGGGGAGAGACCTCCTTCCTTCCTTCCTTCCCTGTCAATGTGGATCAGCTACTAGAGTAAGCATTCACCGAGTAGTTAATCGAACATTAATTTTACATCAATGGTGAGACTTTCTTAGACGTGAGAAGGAGAAAATCTGGAACAAATCAAGATAAAGAATTAGACAAAGAATTGCACCAGTCGTGGTGGTGCACGCCTGTAATCCCTGCTTGGAGGCTCAAGCAGGAAGATCACAGTATTTGAGGACAGCCAGCCTGGGCTACACAGTGAGTTCAAAGCCAGCCTGGAATATATACAGTAAGACTCTGTCTCAACAAGCCAAGGAAACAAACACTGAAGCAGAAGCAAGGACCTAAACAGGAACCCTGAGCTAAGGGTTGTGTTGGTGAGCTACGCACACCGTGCCCCTCACCTGAGCACCTTCTTGTAGGGCTTGTTGGGATCCCTGTAGTAGGGGACAATCCGGGGTTTGAAGTCTTCATCACTTTGGTCCAGCCGGTGTCCTGAGTCTGGGTTCTGTGGCCGCCCTGGCTCCCCCACAGCCTCTACACAGAGATCTTCTCCCTCACCTTGGACCCAAGAGACCCGCAGGAGGCTCAGGCTGCACCCCAGCGACAGCCCTAGGATGAGGGGCAGCGCTGGCCGCAGCAGCGCCAGCAGGGAGCTCAGGCGCATGGTGGCAGCCCTGACCAGGTGCGTACCCCAGCGGGCGCAGCTTTAAGGCTCAGTGTGTCGGTGGGGGCCAGGCCAGCAGGAGGCTTACAGTCTTAACCAGGGAACCCAGGGTCAATGAGGTCAACAACAGAGCAAGGTGTGCTGACTTCCAGGCCCAGGATCCCCAGGCAGATCGACTGCCCCGTCTTCACACTCCATCTGCTTGGTCTTCAGTCACCAAGGTGCTGGATCCACCCTTCGGCCCACGCAGGACACATGCGAACGGTTTCACTCACTCCTGAGGTTACCGTGTGCCTTCCGGCAGGAAGGAGAGGAGCAGCACTCAGTACTCGCAAACCTAACCCAAAAAGGAGGACACACACCTGTAGCCTGGACCTAAGTCAAGAGAAGGCAGCGGCTGGTCAAGAAGGGCTCAGGGAAAAGCACATGATGCACCAAAGCAACAGCTTCCCTGTTCTGAGGACCCCCAGCAACACAACATCCCCACTCCAGCCGTTGAAGAGGATGCTGACAGTTGCTTCAGGCCAGCAAAAGGCAAGGGCTCATCAGGGCCTCCTTCCTCTCTGCTCCCGAGGCCAAGGACACACAGTGGCTACAGCCAGCCCCTCTCCCTCTCAGGAGCGGTCAGCAGTGCAGGGTGCACGCGAGCCGGCCCACGCCAAGGAGGTGGGCGCACCAGTGACTCAGCGCCGACGGCTCTCAGAGGAGCGCCGTGCCCGATGGAGCCATTTTGCAGGGCACTCGTCTCACTATCCCAGCGGCTGCCAGGCTCTGCTGCCCGCCCTCCTGAGGGCAAGCAGCGTGCAAAGCACAGGCACTCTCGCTGCGCCCCAGCCAACGCTGCCTGGCTTTCTCTGGGCCCCGGGACCACGGCAAACAAACGGAAAGCAAACCGTGCGTGCGACGAGCAGCCGCTGGAGGCAAGGCAGGGGTTCTGCGAGGGCCAGCAGGAGTCGGCCGCCTTCCGACAGCGCCCCGGCGCGGGCCACGACTCGGGGCCCAAGCCGGCCCTGGAAGGCAGGCCCGGAGTCCCAGAGCGGCGGGGGGGCGGGTGCAGCCG